ACTGGCTGATGCACCACCTGTGCCCCCTAATGTGCCAACCTGCTGTGCTTTAGCCACCCGGCGCTCCGCTCGTTGTTCTGAGCGTCGCTCCTCCGCCCTCCGTTGTTGTTGGAGGGCGACTACCTCCAACTGCCCAGTAGCGTCCTTCACGAGCCTCCTCCACAGAGGTCGATCATGACACCGCTGGTACCAGTCATCGGCAAGTCCACTCAGCTCCACGTCCTCCTGTACCACATCACTCCATCTCTTCTCTAGCCCGTGCCGCGCCCGCTGAGCCCCCTTGATCCGTCCGAACAAAAGCTGTTTCGGCATGCGGTGGCTGGGCATGCGGGCTACATGACCCAGCCATCGCAGCCTTGCCAGCCAGAGGAGCTCACCGATGGGACCTTGCCCAGATCTTTCAAGGATTTGTGAGCTCCTCACACAATCCAGTCTGGTTAAACCCAGGATGGATCGTAGGCAGACCAGCCTAAATATTTCTAACCGGCGAAGATGTTCCATTAGGGGGGGTCCACGTTTCGCAAGCGTAGACCTGAAGCTTAGTGCGGAGCGACAGACCAGGTAGCTTCCACACAGCGTTACGAAACCGATGAAAATATATTGCCACTCGACTGATTCGGAGTGAGACTTCTGCTGTTAAACTGGAGCCGGTCATAAGCACACTGCCCAGGTATGGGAAACTCTCCACTCTCTCCACAACTGCCCCATCACCGATCGGGAGTTGTGGGGGTGGAGTGTCCGATGGTACAAAATACCCAGGCAGGTGCTTAGTTTTGGTGGGGCTGATGGTAAGGCCCCATTTCTTAGTGGCACGCTCCAGTCTCAGCAGCAGCGTCTCCAACTCCTCCTCTGAATGAGCAGCTATTGTCAAATAATCGGCATACATAACGTGGTTGAGCAATAGGGAGCCATCCCTTGACTGCACCCGGGCATCGATCAGCCTCCCATTATATCTGTACCAAATGGAGATTCCCCCGGTACAGCTATTGAAGGCTTCACGAACTACGTGGTCAAAATAGATGTTAAAAAATGTGGGAGTCAGAGGACATCCCTGTCGCCCCACAAGGTGTACAGGGAATGGCTCTGACTCCCGGCCACGTAGTTTTACCCGGGCCCGCTCACCATCATGAAGGTCCTTAATGGTCGTGAGTAGAGGGTCAGGGACTCCGAAAGCACGAAGAACAACCCAGAGCCCAGGCTTACTGAAGGTATCATAGGCCTTGACCAGGTCAACAAAGCAGAGATGTAGGTTTTGCTGGAATTCCCTACACCTCTGCTGTAGCAGACGGACGGAAAATATGGCATCTGTGCAGGACCGCCCTTTCCTGAAACCGCATTGGGGCACCGCAAGCCTCTCCTCAGCGTGCCTGGCAAGGCGATGTTGAATAATCCTTGCCAGGACCTTTCCCGGCACACTGAGGAGTGAGATGCCCCTGTAGTTGTTACAGTCTGTGTGGTCCCCCTTCTTAAACAGGGGGACCACCAGGGCATCCTTCCAATCCTGCGGAACCCGTCCAGTGGTCCAGACTGTTGCTATGATTACATATAGGGCAGTGTGTGCACAAACGCCACCCTCCCTCAGCATTTCGCTTGGGAGATCATCCCTGCCCGCTGCCTTCCTGGTCTCAGACTCTGGATCGCCTTCAGTACTTCCTCAACAGATGGCACTTCAGCCAGCCACTCACAGGGGGTGACTTCTTCCAATATTTGAGGCACCGCAGCCTCAGCAGGGTCATCCTCACTTTGTGCCACGATGTTTTCCTGGCTGAGGGATTTTCCCTCCCCCAGGACCTCAAAGAAATGCTCAGCAAATCTGCAAACCTGTTCCTGGGGTCGGAGATTGGATCACCGTTTTTTCCCCTAATGATGGTAATAGTTGTGGCGCTGCAGATTACTTTTTTGATGGAGTTAAATAGAGATTTGTGATCACGGGCCACTGAAGCAGACTCCATCTCCTCAGCAACCCGCGAACACCACCCATCCTTGCAGCGCCTCACGGCTCTCCGAACCTCCCAGCGAAGGCTGCGGTAAGCCTCCTCATTCTCTGACGTGGGATCCTGTAGTCGATGACAGTGGGCCTGTCGCTTTTTCTCAACCATCCTGAACACCTCCTCTGTCAGCCAGGGTCTCTGGGGAGGTCTGGACCGCGTACCCAAAGCAGCCATTGCAGCTGCATGAGTCGCAGTCCTAATCCTCGCCCATTTATCCTGGATATCAGGAGGAGTCGGGGACGATGCCAATCCCAGCCGCAAGCGATGATGAAATTCTCGCTTGCAACTTTCATCAGATAACTGAGACCAGGCCACTTTCGGTTGGAAAGGGGTCCTGGGTGTACACCCACCACTGGAGTGGAAGAATGGCAGGCGCATCTTACAGATGACTAGTCGATGGTCAGAGGGCAGATCAGCTCCACGGTAGGTCCTGGTGTCAATGATATGGGCTCGCATCCGCTGGTCCGTCACTATGTTGTCCAGCAGATGTTCTTGCTTGGACCCGGCATGCATCCATGATGCTGTGTGGATGCGCCGATGCCGGAACAGCGTGTTGGTAATTACAAGCTCATGGGCTGCACAAAAATCTAGCAGCCTCCTAACCGTTGTTATTGAGCTGATCTGGCCCATGCCCTCCAATCACTCCAGACCAGGTGCCAGCATCATTATCAACTCAGGCATTGAAGTCACCCAACATGATGACTCTATCCCGAGGGTCCACTTTAGCCAGAACCTCTGACAGGAGGTCATAGAAGGCATCTGACTCATCGGCTTTGCCTGCATCCCTCCACGGATGTTCCTCTTCGGTGGGGGCATAAGTAACCACGACCACCATTCCTCGCCTCCGGTTGATGGGAAGCCGAGCCCAAAGTAGCCTGGGGCTTACAGCTTCCCATACCTCACCGCCACGCTCCCATGCCCCCTTCATTCTTTTGTTCAAAAGAAGAGCCACACCCTGTTGTTTGGCAGTCTGCTGCCCCGAGTAGATGACTGTCCACCCCTCATGGTGGCAGGAGCCAGAACCGGTCCACCGGACCTCCTGAATGCCACAGAGATCCAGGCGGTACAGGTCCAGCTCCCGACAGAGGAGTCGCAGCCTCTCCTCCGCAGTGAACGTTCGAACATTCCACGTGGCCACCCGTAGTGGCTTTTCGTTGTTTCTGGAGGAGCCCCGAGGGTAGATATTCAATCTCCTGGCTCCGCCAATTGGGGTTTGGCCAGGAGATGTCATAGACGCCTGGCCCCCCGGGGCCTCCGGCACAAGCTTATTAGTTATATATTTTAGACGTAGTTTCGTGGTCATTTTTTGAAGGTGGAGTGGTTACCAGCCCCTCGCACCCGTCCAGAGCCCCCGTTTAGCCCCTGTGGTGGACACAGATGCCATGAGGGGAGGAGTCAATCGAAATTGGACCTCCCCCCACAGCACTGTCCACGACAGAGTTGCCCGTTCGGCACCGTGTGTGTGTACACACTCACACACTCACCCACACACTCACACTCACACACTCACCCACACACTCACACTCACACACTCACCCACACACTCACACACACTCACACACACACTCACAACCACTCGCTCACACACTCACCCACACACACACACTCACCCACACACACACACTCACCCACACACACACACACTCACCCACACACACACACACTCACCCACACACACACACACTCACCCACACACACACACTCACCCACACACTCACACACTCACCCACACACACTCACTCACCCACACACACTCACCCACACACCCACCCACACTCACACACTCACACACACACTCACTCTGTAGACTATTCCACACCCACTCACTCCCACACAGAGACGCGCCCACTCTGGGAGTTGAACCCAGGTCCTCTCACTGCCTCTGGCGCCCAGAGTCTTCGTCGTCTTCAAATAATTTATTCGCTACCAAAGTCAAACGCGAAAATCTTCAACAACATCTGCGCCCGTTCATGATTATTTTTTTATTTCTATATTTTTTTACCTACAAATAACGTAAAACGTACACCTCCCGATATATTTATATTACACGAAGATAATTCAACGAGTACCCTCTGTCTTCATCGGTAAAGCCATCACGCAGGTACGAAATCAAATTAATCACGACGTTTCGGGCGCGACACCTGATGATGGACGCTTGTGCTGCACCCGAAACGTCGTGATTCATTTGACTTTCCTACCGACGTTACGGTTTCAACGAAAGAACCAGAGGGCATGGATACCTGCAGTCACGAAAGATTCAAATCAAGATAGAATTCATCCGCTGAAAATCGATTTTGTTGTTGTTGAAATCGTTACATTGGGTTCACCAAAAGCTCCTTGCCAGCGATGAAATTCATGAAGATATTCCCACATTAAGAAGCCTCTTTGGAGCCATGATGCACTTTGATGTCGTCTAAGCTGACATTCATTTCTTTAGAACGTGGAAGCTACACTATACACTACACTATACACTACACTATATACTATACACAACATTATACACTACACTATACACTACACTATACACTACACTATACACTACACTATACACTACACTATACACTACACTAGACACTACTATACACTACACTATTTAATACTATACACAACATTATACACTACACTATACACTACACTACTATACACTACACTATACACACACGTGTGTACACACACACGTGTACACACACACACACGTGTACACACACACACGTGTACACACACACACACACGTGTGTACACACACACGTGTACACACACACACACGTGTGTACACACACACACGTGTACGCACACACACACGTGTGCACGTACACACACACGTGTGTACACACACACACGTGTACACACACACACGTGTACGCACACACACGTGTGTACGTACACACACACGTGTGTACACACACACGTGTACACACACACACGTGTGTACACACACACACGTGTACGCACACACGCGTACACACACACGTGTGTACACACACACACACACAAACGTGTGTGCACACACACACGTGTACACACACACACACGTGTACACACACACACACACACGTGTGCACGAGGCCACGCCTCCTTCACAAGACGACTGTGACGTTGGCGCGCGTGAGCAGCGCTCCGGGCAGAGTGACGCTCAGGGAGACTTGAAGCCTCCTCAGCTGCAAGAGACACAGACACAGAGACAGAGATCACACAGAGATCACACAGAGATCACACAGAGATCGCACAGAGATCACACAGAGATCACACAGAGATCACACAGAGAGACACAGAGACACAGACAGAGAGACACAGAGACAGAGATCACACAGACATCACACAGAGATCACACAGAGAGACACAGAGACAGAGACACAGAGACAGAGACACAGAGACAGAGATCACACAGAGATCACACAGAGATCACACAGAGATCACACAGAGAGACACAGAGAGACAGACAGAGAGACACAGAGACAGAGACACAGAGACAGAGATCACACAGAGATCACACAGAGATCACACAGAGATCACACAGAGAGACACAGAGAGACAGACAGAGAGACACAGAGAGACAGACAGAGAGACACAGAGAGACAGACAGAGAGACACAGAGAGACAGACAGAGAGACACAGAGACAGAGACAGAGACACAGAGACAGAGATCACACAGAGAGACACAGAGAGACAGACAGAGAGACACAGAGACAGAGACAGAGACACAGAGACAGAGATCACACAGAGAGACACAGAGAGACAGACAGAGAGACACAGAGACAGAGACACAGAGACAGAGATCACACAGAGATCACACAGAGAGACACAGAGAGACACAGAGAGACAGACAGAGAGACACAGAGACAGAGACACAGAGACAGAGATCACACAGAGATCACACAGAGATCACACAGAGATCACACAGAGAGACACAGAGAGACACAGAGAGACAGACAGAGAGACACAGAGACAGAGACAGAGACACAGAGACAGAGATCACACAGATATCACACAGAGATCACACAGAGATCACACAGAGAGACACAGAGAGACACAGAGAGACAGAGACACAGAGAGACAGAGATCACACAGAGATCACACAGAGATCACACAGAGATCACACAGAGAGACACAGACACAGAGACAGAGACACAGAGACAGAGACACAGAGACAGAGATCACACAGAGATCACACAGTGATCACACAGAGAGACACAGAGAGACAGAGAGACACAGAGACAGAGAGACACAGAGACAGAGATCACACAGAGATCACACAGAGATCAC